TAAAGCACATATAGAATTGTGTAATAGAATAATGTACATATAACATTGTGTAATAGAATAATGTACATATAACATTGTGTAATAGAATAAAGCACATATAACATTGTGTAATAGAATAAAGCACATATAACATTGTGTAATAGAATAAAGCACATATAACATTGTGTAATAGAATAATGCACATATAGCATTGTGTAATAGAATAATGCACATACAACATTGTGTAATAGAATAAAGCACATATAGCATTGTGTAATAGAATAATGTACATATAACATTGTGTAATAGAATAATGTACATATAACATTGTGTAATAGAATAAAGCACATATAACATTGTGTAATAGAATAAAGCACATATAGCATTGTGTAATAGAATAATGTACATATAACATTGTGTAATAGAATAATGTACATATAACATTGTGTAATAGAATAAAGCACATATAACATTGTGTAATAGAATAAAGCACATATAACATTGTGTAATAGAATAAAGCACATATAACATTGTGTAATAGAATAAAGCACATATAACATTGTGTAATAGAATAAAGCACATATAACATTGTGTAATAGAATAAAGCACATATAGCATTGTGTAATGGAATAATGTACATATAAAATTGTGTAATAGAATAATGTACATATAACATTGTGTAATAGAATAAAGCACGTATAACATTGTGTAATAGAATAAAGCACATATAACATTGTGTAATAGAATAAAGCGTAGCAGGTGAACATGAACGTGTGAACATATAAACAGCAGGTGCAGAATTTAAAAGGAAACATTCAGTCTGTATAAAGACTGAAGCATCTTTGTCCCGTTTAAAGTGAAACACAAGCGTTTCTGCACTGAAGCCTCTTAAAGCGTCTGTTGCCGTGGACAACGGCGTCATGGCGTCTGACATCAGGGACTCTGTGGTGGCTTCACGTCGTCCATCAGTCCAGTGAGACGGAGGCAGAAGGCTCTCCAACGTTTACGTAGTTCACCGAGTCGTCTCCTTCAACCACCTCATCCAGCTGCTGTAAACAACAACAACAACAACAACACAACTGTGCTGAGATGCTGAAGGACACGGAGCAGATGGGTTTGTAGGAACAAAGAGCAGCGCCAGAGGAAGCGCTGGGGTTTGTGGGGATCCTCAGTGAGAAGTGGAGAACAGATGTTACAAACACTTTACTGACGCTACGATTCTCTGATTAAACTCACCATGATTTCTTCCATCCGGGTTTCTTTCCCTGAAACACAAGAAAAGACTCCAGTTTAGTTTTGAGGGTAAAATGGAGGTTCATCAAAACCTTTTGGCTTCATATGTGAATGTTGTCACCTTTAGTTCTTGTCCAGATGTTGACTGTAACAACACTTATTAAAAGTGCTGCTGAACCCAAACACACAACGAAGGTCCTCAACAAGGCTGAAACAGAGTGAAACACAGTCAGAGGGGTGATGATCAGTAGATGATCTCTGATAGATGATCAATAGATGATCTCTGATAGATGATCAATAGATGAATCACCTGAATGAATAAAATAGCAAAGTGAATCAAACTGTACAGTTAGAAAATAACTCAAGTATCTGACGTCACGATTAAAGAGTGATGTGAATTAAAATGATCAAATATGAACAAACACTCTGATCCTCTGAGAGGTTTGTGACTGTCTCTACCTGCAGTCACTGGTTTCTGGTCTTCAGGTGGACTTTTGGTCGTCTTCTTCTCAGGTGTCTCATTCACTGGAGGTTTGTTAGTCGTCTTTGTTACAAAAGCACCTTAATGAATAAATGACAAAATGCAACAAACTGTAGAGTAAGAATTTGTATCTGACGTCATGATTAAAGAACAATGTGGTTTAAGAGGTGAAATATGAACAAATCCTTTGAGTGATCATCCACATGTGACTTTAAGCAGCTCATCATCTTCTCACCTGACTGAGGACGCCTGAAGGGGAACTGATGACTTTCTCCACTTTGACTATCAATCACTTCACATGTCAGTGACTCATAATGATCTTTTTTAATGCTGAATGAGGCTGAACAGACGTGTGATGTCATCACTTCAGTGTGACTTCCCTCTTTGAGCCACTTCACTGTGTGTCCACACCGTCCATCAGTCCACACAGAGCACTTCAACTTCACCTCATCACCCTCCTCCTCTTTTGTTATTTTAAACTTTCAGCACATTGTTCCAACAATAAAGTAAGAATACTTACCGTCAACAACAGATAGATGATAAACGTCTTCCCCTACTGGTGATCCTTCTCCTGATTCAAACTGTCTGCATATGTAACGACCAACATCCTGATCTTTGACCTTCTTTATAACCAGAGAACATTCCTCTGTAACACTCAGTCTGTCTAATCTGTTGTTGGCTCCTTCTTTAAACTTCCCATGTTCAAACAGTGTTACTGTACTTCCTGAAGTACTAAAGAGCCACGCAGTACTGTTACACTTCTTCTGATCATGAATCTCACTCTCACAAGGAAACGTGACTTCATCTTCATCTCTGACAGTGAAGGATGAAGTTTTTACAGATGTTACTGTTGAGAAATACAGAAAAATACAGTAAACATGACGGTAAAGTTCCTACAAAGTGTTGTAATAATTGCAGATGTGTTTGTAAATGCGTCTCCTTTATGGCGTCTCACAGGCTTCAGAAGACTCCTGGTGACGTTAAACAGAAGCTGCAGACTCACCTGTACAGCTCAACACCTGCAGCATCACCAACGAAGACGTCATAATCCACCTGAGTTCAGCCATCGTGCTTCTCTCTCTCGCTCTCAGCCCTCAAAGCGCCCGCTGCTCCTTCAACATGAACGCAGCATCTACTTCCTGTCTGAGTGTCTCGTGGATTTCAAGAGAGTGAAAATCTTTGAAACTTCCTGGTTATATTTTTAATAATCTGCTATTTTGAGTGAGTGTGGAAAACAATGAAGAAGTAGAACTTGTCCAGATTGTTTTGTCACGGAAGGACGGCGGAGGGAAACCAGCCGGAACCAAAGGACCGAGAGTGTGTGTGTGTGTGTGCGTGTGTGCGTGTGTGTGTGTAACTTGCCATGCTATTTACTTGTGTAGCCGAGGGTTTACTTCGGGTTAATAATGAAACAATAACACGGTGGTTCGGTTCTGCTTCGGCCGCTACTTTATTTTCACTTCCAAAACACCTTCATTGAACACTTCCTCTACTTCCTCTCCTTCACCTCTTCCTTCACAATAAAAGCACCTACACCGGAACACAAATACAATAATATTCGACACCAGGTTCCCATTCATTCCGTATATGACTGATCAGTTACATAACGCCCATTCAGATAACGTTACAACCGAGCGTTGTCGGTAACTCGTGCAAAGACGTACAACCAAACTGCACGCAATGTGCTGCTTTTTATCACAACGCCCATTCAAAGCTGAGCAAAAATTCAGTTAAAATTTAGTTTGCCACAAACCATCGACTTTTCTTCACTCACACCTAAATGTTCTATGATAAACTATACAGCATTCGGTTTTCAAACAACAGGGTCTTCTGTGGTGATTGAGGTAAAGTTGGTGAGTCAATGAAACTTGGATTTCAAACGTCTCTCAGTCAAATCACTTGTGGTGCTCAAGTATCACATGCATGTATTTCTGTTGATTACATTACATTGAATACAGTCATAGCTGTACGTCGGTATTCTATTGGTTACAGTGGTTTTACAATACTCACGTTTCTTTATTGATTACATAGTATTCTACATCTTACATCTGTATTCTAGTGTAGACTAAATGCATTTTATTAATAGTTCATTTATGAATCGGGTCATTAGTTTATTTCTAATATCCCACAGCACCAAATCCCTCTCACTAACACGGTAAGACACTGCATTCTCAGATTTCACATTTTCAGATGTTTAGTACGTCTGCTTGGAATATTCTGATAAAAGGAGAAGCAAATGGCAGAATTATTATATATTAAACTATAAAAGAAGAAACTTGAAGAAAGACAACATGAGAAAATCTGCAAAATTGCTCTATTTTGATTATTATTATTTCTCAGGGATAAAAAAAAAGGCAGCAAGTGTTTTAGCAACAAATAAGGCAAAATACTTAAGCACTTCAACCTCTGAGCACCATGAAGGGCCTGACAGCAGGTTCATCAAGCTCAATGTGTAATATATTGTCCACATTTACTGCATATTTACCCTCGATAGAGAGAGAAGCAGACATTAGTTGGGTTTGTGTGGTCAGGTGATGCTGGCGTAGACGTTGCTGGGATCAGCGGAGGAAGCTTTCACGGTCGAGTAGGTCACCGCATCATCGCCATGGTTACTCCGACCCTGACAGGAAACCGCACAACGTGATTTACACAACAGGACGAGGTGACACAACGCACAACAACGATGTGGTGCGACGCGCAGAGCAGCTTCAGTGGTGTAGCACAGTCATCATCATCATCATCATCAGACTTTACAGCACAGGACACAAAACAACACAGCGCACAATGTATCAGTGCAACACAACGTGTGTGTCGTCATGGTAACCAATCAGAGAGCTCACCTGGGCTTTACTGTCGGCCTTCTGGGTGTAGCTGATGGTGGCGTAGGACACACCGTCTTCAGGACCGGCCTGCACGGAGGAGACAACATGGCCGCTCAGGGACATGGACACATCCTAACAGCAGACAGAAGGGTTTCTTTAGGGGGGAGGGTTGGTCTTCCGCTTTTTCTCCTGTTGCATCATCTAACTTCTCTTTTTATATTTGGTGCACATTCTCTCTCTCAAAACTGAACTGACTGTTTTGTACAGTTGACAAACTATTCGGTTATTCTCTTCTCTTCTCTTATTAACCGGTGTGGAATGGAAGCGTGGTGGGAATAGCAAGCTAGCGAGCAAGCAAGCAGAGCTAACTGCTAATTAGCGCTCCGGCTCGCCGTAATGCTCCACCGGTACACAACATGGGCCCACATGAGTTGTCGCTGATGTGGCCAAACGTATGTGTTTACTCAGTGTCTCTGCAGCGTGTGACCTCACCGTGAGAGGGGCTTCTGCAGCCGGGGGGGCGGTCGGGACCTGGACAGGAAGCATCTCACAGATCAGTTCTCTCACACGCTGACAGAATTCTGTAATGCTGTTTTTAGCTTATTAAGGAATTTAATTAATACGTTTTAAGCCACTTTTCTCCTCTTCCTCACAATCACTTATTACTACAAGACTCTAATATTGATCTCAGCTATTAAATTGAGAAGAATAGTGAGGATCAGTTTCTTAAACTCACATCGTTGTTGTTCGTCTGTGTTGTGTTGCCTGAAAAGACAAATCGTTGGTTTAAAGCTGAAACAATGAAACACAATATTCTTAAAGTGTGTTTGAGTTTCATCTCCTCTCTCACCTTTGTTGATCTTCCATTTGACGACAAACACGATGATTATCAAGAGAACAACAAGAACAACGGCCGAAAGGACGTAGACCCAAACTGCAAAGACAATACAGATGTTCTGTGTTCTGTTGTAAATGAAAACTTATGGTGTTACATACATGAAGACACAAACATGTAGAGTCTCTACTTTGTGGTTCTGCTGAAGCTTCTCTGATTATAGAAGTTTTCGTAGTGTCTCCTCCTTTTGTGTCCTCTTCAGTTGTTGTTGTTGTTGTTGTTGTGTCTTCACCTAAACAAATGAACACAATACAATTAAATAAATGAAATCCATTAAAAAGGTAAATTTGAGTGACATCAGAATATTCTCACCTGTTTTATCACCTGAGGGAGAAAACTGCATCACTTTGTCTCCATCGGTCACTTCACACTTCAATGAAGTGAAGCTTGATGTGTAAAAGAAGTGAGAAGTCTTAAAGGACAGAGAGGCGAAGCAGGAATTCCGTGATGTCTTCACTTCTTTGTCTTTGTCCACATCTTGACCACCATTCATCCACTTCACTGTGCGTGGACATCGTTCATACGTCCACACAGAGCATCTTAACGTCACCTCGTCTCTGTTCGTCTCTTCAGTCACTGGTGGAGACGGAGACATTATGAGAGAAAGAAGAGGAACTTAAATACTAAAATCATTATTATAATAATGTTTTTTATTAATCTGATACGACAGTTTATAAACATTATGATGTAAATACTTACTGGAAACAACAGACAGATGAACCTCAGCATCTTTATGTCGTCGTCCTGATCTGGACTGTCTGCAGACATAAAGACCAACATCTCCACGTGTGACCATCTTCATAACCAGAGAACAGTTCTGTAAAACACTCAGTCTGTCTGATTCAGCTTTGGCTTTTTCAATCTTCCCGTTTCTAACCAGAACTACTGGTGGTCTGCTTCTTAAATAAGTGAAGAGCCACACAATAGAGTCACAGTTGTTCTGGTCCTCAGTCACACTGTTACAAGGCAAAGTGACTTCATCTCCATCTCTGACAGTGAGACGTTGTCCTGTTGCTGCTTCTAAGAAGATGAGAGAGAAGTAAAAGGAACAAGGAGAAATAAAACATGACTTTTAGTGTCAGTGTGAAGATCATTTTAGACACAACAACAGTTTACAAATGTGCCTCATTGTTGGTTTCTAAGAGTTCATTAAACTCACGATTCACCTGGATGGAAACAAACAGACAACTTGTGTGTCGTCTTTAAATAAAGCTTTGCTCATAAATAACATGAATATATTAGTAAATGATCTTTCTAGTGTTTCTGTAGTCATACACACATTCTATGTGTTCTTACCTGTAAACTGAAGCATCAGAATCAGGAACAAAGAGGTTTGAATCCCTCTGAATTCAGCCATGGTTCCTCTCCGTCTCTCGTCTCTCTGCTTCTTCCGTCTTAAAGACAAAGGATGAATCTACTTCCTCTTGTTGATAAAGAGTCACTTCCTCGTCCCTCTCATCTCTCATACGTCATTTGTTGCTTTTTCATCAAACTCATCCTCCACCACAGCTTCTTCTGGATGTCTGTGATATTATTTTGTCTTAGGGAGTGTAAATGACAAAATTACTCTTAAACTCATTGAATAATTCATACAGATTGGTTACTGATTGCTTTGGGATAAAGCACAACAAAAAAGATCACACAGTTAAAACGTACAATGAACAAAAACACACAGTATTTCTGTGCGTTGTCATGGACTAGAAGTACTTCCACAGGTTGTAAGCAGGGCGGGACGGTAACACTTTTGCTTACTGTGGCCAGTGGTTTCCCAAAGTTACTAACCACTCAGCAATTTAAGTATCCACAATTTTTGTTGTTGGGAAATTGAGAATATACGGTTTGCTTTTCGGTAGAACTAGATACAATTCATTCAGTGGAGTTATTGAACATTATTTGCCATACATATTGAATATTATTCATAACAAATCACCCAAAAGCCATTTCTATACAAAGTAAAAGGTGTAGTACAACAAGTACAACCTCGTGTCCATGTGGCATGATTTTGGTGGTGCTCATAACAGTGGAGGTATTGAATATTTCTGTAATGGGTTATTTACGCTTCGTACTTTGCAGACGGTCCCTGCGCCTCGTAAGCGGCCGCACATTAAGACCAAAATGACTCGTCCGGCTCGCTGAGCGCCTGTTTTGGTTAAATTATTGCTGACAACGGTTGAAGTTGGTTGTCAACACCGCTGCGGTCACCGAGAGAAGATCTGAATCTGTGAACAACTTGCTGACTTTAGCGACGCGTGAGTTTATTGTTTTAAATGTGCCTTGAGAAGAGACTCCTAACGGGAACATGCGTGCCGACCGACCGCGAGCCGAGCCGCTAGACGGGTCTTCATCCGCGGCTTCGAAAAACGTTTTATTTTGAAAACTGACCGGAGTTTCTCCTAATTATGCTCCTATGACATATTCCCCACGCGTCACCGGGCGTTTTTCTTGTCCTTTTACCGTGCACGGCAGTTTAGCCGACCAGCGAACACAGACTCCTACCCCCACCCCCTATCCCAACGACTACTACACCCCCCCCCCCCCCCCTTCCCAACCGGTCCGCGAAATATTGTCTGACATGAAAACGGTCCGTGACGTAAAAAAGGTTGGGGACCACTGAAGTAGAATACAATGTGTCAGAGACAGAGGACGGTCTGTCTGAGGCAGAAGACAATGTGTCTGAGACAGAGGACGGTCTGTCTGAGGCAGAGGACCATGTGTCTGAGGCAGAGGACGGTCTGTCTGAGCCAGAGGACCATGTGTCTGAGGCAGAGGACGGTCTGTCTGAGCCAGAGGACCATGTGTCTGAGGCAGAGGACGGTCTGTCTGAGCCAGAGGACCATGTGTCTGAGGCAGAGGACGGTCTGTCTGAGCCAGAGGACCATGTGTCTGAGGCAGAGGACGGTCTGTCTGAGCCAGAGGACCATGTGTCTGAGGCAAAGGACCATGTGTCTGAGGCAGAGGACCGTGTGTCTTGAGACAGGGGACCATGTGTCTGAGGCAGAGGACGGTCTGCCAGAGGCAGAGGACCATGTGTCTGAGACAGACGACCATGTGTCTGAGACAGAGGACGATGTTGAGGAGGACGCTGGTTATGAGGCATCGTCCTCTGAGGACAGTGAGACCCTCAGAGTCGTCCCTCCTGTTGTCTCTGAAACACAAACACTCTGCCTTCCTCTCTTCTTTCAGATGTGTCTCTGATATCCAGCAGAGGTCACATGTCACATATCTAGCATTTAGTCACATGATTTACTCCGTTAAGAACGTCATGTAGTACAAAGTCAGTGTGTTTACATGATGGTATAATTGGAATCTTTGCTTAGTCGGACTATGCGATCTTTCGGGGGGAGGTGCTATTATCCCAAGATACAAGGCAGTGAATAAATCAACTCATTGGCCAAAAGCACGTCATATCCGGTACGATAGGTGGCGCTGTTTTCATTACAACTAGTTGTGATGCAGCCATTTCCGCATGTCCGCTTCTCCACTACCAACAACAACAACATCAACATAACGAGAAAGATGGCGAGCGGAGAGCAAGGTGAAGCTACGTCCCTCTACTATCTGTGCATGATGCTAACAGGAGCACAGCGAATGGCGCTGTTGGCTGATTTGATAACGGAGAGAAGACGCCGTCGGGATCTCAAGCATGCGCAAAGACGCAAAGTCCAGTTCCTCATCCGATTCACCGTTACATGCCGCAATAGTCGAACTATCAACTGGATCGGATCGAGTTATCCAGGCGTGTTAGTCGGATCGGAGTCGGACCGCACGTAGTCGGACAAAGGTGTTTACATGAAACGGATCATTCCATTTCAGTCCGACTAAGCCAGTTATTCGAATCCATGTAACCACGCTGAGTGTTGTTCTACATCAGAGAGACGTTGTACCTTTTATTTCTTTTGCTTACGAGCTGCAGGTTATTTAGTACATTCACAGATAGACGCATCGCATCTCCCTCCATCCATCTGTTTTTCCTCCGTTTCTTTAAACAATAAATATTCCTTTGTCACTTTCTTCTTTCACTATTCTCTTCTCCATCTGATCTTTGATCTCAGGACTTCCTCTTTGCCTTCGTTCATTCTATTGTTCACATCTTCACTTTCATAAGCGTAGACGCTACCGAGCGGTTTCAGCAGAAGAATCACAGCCGTTGTTGTGTGAAGACCTTCAGATTAGAGATGATAAGGCAGCGTGGTCACACTAAAGTCCCCTGGTTATTTTCTGTAGGCGCCCCGTTATTGTTGTTGGGCTCCCATCATAGCATAAAACCAAGGCTGACTTTTGAATGCAATTATGCTGCAGGACATACAACATAAAACCCCCCGCATGGAATATGTCCTCGCACCCAGCTGTGAGTTGTCTCTCTTGGTGAAACAGGCCTGAGATCTGCTGTGGACTGTGAGCTCCTCGTCTTCAAACTCTGTCCAAACTGACGACGGTCGGTGCAGGTTAAGACTGCAGGATCTCCTCAGATCACTTTCCCCCAACCGACTTGGACGTGGATGACGGGATGAAGGATTCAGACAAACAGCCTGCTAGCAGCACCTCTGCTAGCTCGTAGCCACGCGTGACCTGACATGTGGTCAGTAGCTTAGCTTCCAGCTAGCTCCCCTCCTTATCACACACACACACATGCATGAATGAATGTTTTATTTGTTGTTTAGATATTAGGATATCATATAATAGCTTTTGTTGGTTTCAAATGGTATTGATCAGATTAGTATTGTTGGAGGTTAATAAACCCTGTTATACTTTAAGAAGAGGGAGGACATTCAATGACCACCATGAAGCTCTTACTACATGGAGGAATCACACAGCACAGTGTAGCATGACGCTGTCTTTATTTATTGTTATCACATGTTATAAAGACAAGTTACTGAAACACAAACACATCCCAACAAACATGTGAATGCTGAATGAATCTGATCTGCAGACGTGTTGCTCAAACTCCAGCAGCAGGTCTCATGTTTTCATAGTTCACTGTGTCATCTTCTGCATCATAACGCACCTGTGAGAAACAACACAAAGCCACACTTTACACCCCCACCTCTCTGACGTGCTCCACCCTCCATGTAGCATCCACCCTGCGGTTCCCCCTCATGTGGACACTGTGAGCTCAGTCGCTAAGTGTTAGCTCTGCTAGCATTGGTGGGCTGTTAGCACCGTTAGCTGCTAGAAGCTCTAAAGCGACTCGTGTTGGAGTGAAGAAATACTGCAGATAAGAACGTCATGAAGTGATGAAGCGTTTCATTGTTAACTTGTTAAAGACTCACAGCGTTTTCTTCCGTCTGTGTTTTCCTCTCTGGAGACAAAAGAAAGAGTCGCTTTAGTTTCACCAGCAAAAGACGTCTCTCATCAAAATGTCTTCAGCTTCTTCACCTTTGATTCTAATCCACATGTTGACGACTACAACTATTATTATGAGTGCTGCTAATCCAACGGACACAGAGACGAGCCTCCACCCGCCTGCAACGACAATCAAGCACACACACATATTAGATTTAAAGACTTAAATAAGAACTTTATTCATATTTATTTACGTTAAAAGGTTGAATGTTGAGAAAGAGAGATTCTACATAAAGACACAAACACGTAGAGTCTCTACTTTGTGGTTCTGCTGAAGCTTCTCTGATTGCTGAAGTTGTTGTTGTGTCTTCACCTGAACAAATGAAAATAACACAACTAAATAAATGAAACTTACAATCCATTAAAAGCAGAATTTAAGTGACTTCGGAATATTTTCACCTGTTTTATCACCTGAGGGAGAAAACTGCATCACTTTGTCTCCATCGGTCACTTCACACTTCAATGAAGTGAAGCTTGATGTGTAAAAGAAGTGAGAAGTCTTAAAGGACAGAGAGGCGGAGCAGAGAGACAGTGATGTCTTCACTTCTTTGTCTTTGTCCACATCTTGACCACCATTCATCCACTTCACTGTGTGTTTACATCCTTCATACGTCCACACAGAGCATCTTAACGTCACCTCGTCTCTGTTCGTCTCTTCAGTCACTGGTGGAGACGGAGACATTATGAGAGAAAGACGAGTAACTTATATACTAAAATCATTATTATTATAATGTTTTATATTAATCTAAATGTTTATAAACATTATGATGTAAATACTCACTGGAAACAACAGACAGATGAACCTCAGCATCTTTATATTGTCCTCCTGGTCTGACCTGTCTGCAGACATAAAGACCAACATCTCCACGTGTGACCTTCTTCATAACCAGAGAACAGTTCTGTGAAACACTCAGTCTGTCTGATTCAGCTTTGGCTTCATCAATCTGCCCGTTTCTAACCAGAACTACTGCATGTGTGCTTCTTGAATAAGTGAAGAGCCACACAGTAGAGTCACAGTTGTTCTGGTCCTCAGTCACACTGTTACAAGGCAAAGTGACTTCATCTCCATCTCTGACAGTGAGACGTTGTCTTGTTGCTGCTTCTAAGAAGATGAGAGAGAAGTAAAAGGAACGAGGAGAAATAAAACATGACTTTTAGTGTCAGTGTGAAGATCTTTTAGACACAACAACAGTTTACAAATGTGCCTCATTGTTGGTTTCTAAGAGTTCATTAAACTCACGATTCACCTGAATGGAAACAGACGAGTTGTGTGTCGTCTTTAAATGAAGCTTTGCTCATAAATAACATGAATATATTAGTAAATGATCTTTCTAGTGTTTCTGTAGTCATACACACATTCTATGTGTTCTTACCTGTAAACTGAAGCATCAGAATCAGGAACAAAGAGGTTTGAATCCCTCTGAATTCAGCCATGGTTCCTCTCCGTCTCTCGTCTCTCTGCTTCTTCCGTCTTAAAGACAAATGTTGAATCTACTTCCTCTTTTTATTGTAATTTCATTTCCTTGTTCTTCCGTTTCCTCAAACATCACTTGTTGCTTAACTTAAAGTCACATCTCTGCATTTAGTTCTCTGATCTGATGCAGCAACAAACAAACTGCACTAAGACTCACGTCGAGTCTCAAGTTCTTTCCCATGATGCACTTGTGTTGCCGACTTACAAGCGAACCAACAAGGACCTGAAGAAGACTGAGGAATTCAAAGGTGTGACGGGAACCAAATGTCTCTACAATGTCTGGAATATGAAAGGATGCGTCTGTTGGACAAATATCACTTTAACAAAACCACATGTGCTCAAATCAGTCTCAACATGAATGAGTGCACACAGATCCACAAATGTATTCACATCTGCCCCCCTACAGCCAAAAGGCCTTTAAATGTTTTTAATGTGTATCCAACTTCTATTTTAAGACCTGAAACTATCAAACACATCACGAGACATGTATAAGTAGAAAAACGGCCATTTTATTCGCGGTTATAATGCAGAAAATGTTGTTACAGAATCATCGAAGAAACAACGGACTGCAGACCAACAGGAAGCTTACAAAATAAAACACTATCAGCAAAATAAGTTGTAACAAGTTGTGTTCTGTAGATCTTCCAATGCAGGAAAAAGCTTCTCCTGAAAGCATTCAACAGGCGTGGGTAGACAAATGTGCGGCCGCCGCAGCCTCTTCTCAGGGGGGGGCGGGGGGGGGGGGGGGGGCCGTCGCTCAGGGGGCCCGACAGACACAGAAGGGCCGCCCACGTTCTCGTAGTTCCCGTCGCCTCCTCCTCCGTCACCACGCTCCTGCTGAACGAGCACATTCCAGTCAGAGTGGCAGCGTGAACGTGACGGCCGGTAACCGCCGGCAACCACCAATTCACCGGCCATCACTGCCCGCCCCCCCCACACACGCACCTTCTCTGACCTCCATCTCAGGGCGCCGCACTGGGTCGGCCTCCGGTTCCCTGCAGAACAAACCACATGTCAGCTGGAGGCTCGTGTGAGTCGGCGTGAAGCGGGAGAGAGGCTCCTCACCGCGGCCGGCGGCGAGAAGAACCAGGACGACGGTGACCAGCAACAGCTCGGCCACACGCAGGACCAACATCACGGAGTCCAGGGAGGAACCGCCTTCACAGGTGTCACCTGTCACCAGCAGCGAGAAGGTGTCAACGTGCGGGTTTCCCTCAGCGAAGACGAGACGATGGCGCGTGAAGAGTCTCTTCTTCTACTGCGGTAAACACGGCAGCTTTCACGCCTCCAGCGATGAAGGTGAGGAGCTCAGATAATAGAGAATAAACATCTAAATGTGATCGTCGTGTGTCTGTGACGCTGTTGGTGCTTCCTAACCGGACGAATTAAAACAAACAAACACAAAGCTTGTCCTCTTACTACGGGAGTTCCTCAGGGTTCCGTCCTGGGTCCCCTCCTCTTCTCGCTCTACACCAATTCTCTCGGAGCTGTCATTCGCTCGCAAGGCTTCTCCTACCACAGCTATGCCGATGACACACAACTAATTCTCTCCTGCCGTCACTCGGACACCCAGGTGGCGGCACGGATCTCTGCCTGTCTGACTGACATCTCTCAGTGGATGTCCGCCCACCACCTGAAAATCAACCCCGACAAGACCAAACTACTTCTCTTTCCGGGAAAAGACTCTCCGACCCAGGACCTGACGGTCAACTTTGGCAACTCCGTGTTAACGCCCACTTTAACCGCTAAGAACCTCGACGTCACAATCGACAGCCAACTCTCCCTGACTCCCAACATCACTGCAACAACACGATCCTGTAGATACACGCTCTACAACATCAGGGGAATACGTCCCCTCCTTACTCAGAAGGCAGCGCAGGTACTGATTCAGGCTCTTGTCATCTCACGCCTGGACTACTGCAACTCCCTCCTGCAGGTCTCCCTGCCACCGCCATTCCACCTCTGCAGCTCATTCAGAATGCAGCAGCTCGACTGGTCTTTAACCTTCCGAAATTCTACCACACTACTCCACTCCTCCGCTCTCTTCACTGGCTACCGGTGGCCGCCCGCATCCAGTTCAAAATATTGGTGCTCATGTACCATGCTGTGAATGGATCGGGTCCAGCTTACATCCAGGACATGGTCAAACCCTACATCCCAACCCGCACTCTCCGCTCTGCATCTGCAAAACTACTCGTCCCTCCCTAACTGAGAGCAAAACACTCGACTAGATCACAACTCTTTGCTGTCCTTGCTCCGAAATGGTGGAACGAGCTCTCTGAAGACACCAGGACCGCAGAGAGCCTTCACATCTACAGACTAAAGACACACCTCTTCAGACTCCACCTCCACTAAAAGACTAACAAATTGTAGCACTTACATTGTACTTATAACGCCACTCATCTATAGCAAATTGTAAGTTGGCTTATTTGAGGAAATTGCTCTTTCTTGTTTTTCTGAGTGTGTACCCCTATGGTTGAATGCACTTATTGTAAGTCGCTTTGGATAAAAGCGTCAGCTAAATGACATGTAATGTGATGTAATGTAACACAGCTGAACTTGTTTCTACTCAGAATCTTCAGCTGAACCGAACTGAGACGTTTCCTGTGAAGGACGACGTTGATTTCAAAACGCTTGTTACGAGTTACTGGAAGTTTGTGAGGAAAAATTTCAGGAATTACACCACAGCTGCTAGATGTATTATACATTCAGGAAGCTACTTTTTTTCCAACCTTCTGATTGGGTTGGTGTTGGTCCGGTTGGTGTTGATCCGGTTGGTCCGGTTGATGTTGATCCGGTTGACCCGGTTGGTGTTGTTGTTGTTGTTGTTGTATCTCCACCTAGTAAAATATATAAGGGCGCAGTGGCGAAGCAGAAAGACTGATGTCTTCATGTCTCCGTCCCGTGGAGCACCTCGCTGTGTCTCTACATCAGAGGCCCCCAATACAAATATCAAGCCCATAATGTTTCAGTACATTATGTAAATACTCACTGGTGACGGCAGACAGGAAAACATGAGCGAATCCACGCTCTGTTTCTCCTGATGTGACCTGTCTGCAGCCGTAACGACCAACGTCTCGACCTTTGACCTTCTTCAGGACCAGAGAACAATCCTCTGAAACGCTGAGTCTGTCTGATTCACCCGTTTCAACAACCTTCCCGTTTGCAACCAGAATTTCTGCTCGTTGGTTAAAATCACCCCGGACCCACTCAGTGGCTCCGCATGTTTTATCAACGATCAAATTGCCACAAGGAAAAGTGACTTCCTCCCCCTCTCTGACGGTGAAACTTTGTCCGGATGCTGATGCTGAGAAGATGAGAGAGACATTAAGAGAGTAAGGAGAAATAAAAACGACTTAGTGTCTGCAGAGATCAATTCAATTCAATTCAATTCATTTTATTTTGTATAGCCCATAATCGCAAATTACAAATTTGCCTCAGAGGGCTTTACAGTCTGTACACATACGACATACTCTGTCCTGAAACCCTCCATCGGCACAGGAAAAACTCCCCAAAAAATGAAAAAAACATTCCAAGAGGGAAAAAAGGGAAGAAACCTTAGGGAGAACGTCAGAGGAGGGATCCCACTCCCGGGATGGACAGACTACAATGGATGCCATGTGTACAGAATGAACAATGTATAATACATGCAATTCCTATGACAGAAATGATTCATGTAATTGTGAGTAGTAAGCCAGGCGCACAGCAGGACCACTGCAGGGGCAACCACCATCAGATAGAACCACCATCAGATAGAACCACCATCCACAGAAGCCTGTGGGGAGGGAGAGCACAGAGACTTTAGGAGAGGGTAATGTTGGTTTACAAGTACAGTAATATGATTAATATCTAAAATAATGATGATGATGATGATGATGATGGCAGCAGCAGGCGTCAGCATGGCCACGGTAGGTGTCAGGACCAGGGTCCCGAAGGAACCACGATCTACGGAGACCTGATAGGGGAGAGAGCACAAAAAAAAACCTCCCGGAAAGAAGCTGAATTAGTCATGTGCATTAATAAAACTTGAATTATGGTAGAACGAGAGCGTGAGAGAGGAGCTTGGTGTATCCTAAGAAGTCCCCCGGCAGTCTAAGCCTATAGCAGCTCAACTAAGGGCTGGTCTGGGCTAACCTGAGCCAGCCCTAACTATAGGCAGAGTCAAAGAGGAACGTTTTAAGTTTTTCTTTAAAAGAGCTGACCGGATCTGCCCCCTGGACTGAAAGTGGAAGCTGGTTCCACAAAAGAGGAGCTTGATAACTGAAGCCTCTGGCCCCCAGCCTACTTTTTAAAACCATAGGAACAACAAGTAGCCCAGCATCTATGGAGCGCAGTTGTCTTTTAGGGCAATACGGTGTTACAAGCTCTTGAAGATACAACGGTGCCTCACCAGCAAGTGCCTTGTAGGTGAGGAGAAGTACCTTAAAATCTATTCTTGATTTAACAGGGAGCCAGTGCAGAGAAGTTAATACAGGAGTGATATGATCCCATTTCTTAGTTCTTGTTAATACACGTGCTGCAGCATTCTGAATCAACTGGAGAGGCTTAAGAGATTTACAAGAGCAGCCTGATAACAAAGAATTACAGTAGTCCAGTCTGGAAGTGACAAAATCACTTTGAGACAGGAAGTTCCTGATTTTTGATATGTTACGTAGATGAAAATAGGCAGTCCTTGAAGTCTTCTTTATATGCGAGTTGAAGGTCATATCCTGGTCGAAGAGAACTCCCAGATTCCTGACGGTGCTGCTGGGTACCAGAGCAATTCCATCCATAAAAACTGTATCACGTGACAGCTGGCTGCGAAGGCGCTCTGGGCCTATGAAGATAACTTCCGTTTTTTCTGAGTTTAGCATCAGGAAGTTGCCGGTCATCCAAGTTTTGATGTCTCCAAGACATTCACACAAGAGTTCATTAAACTCACGATTCACGAAACAAGCAGACTACTGGTGACTTCTTTAAAGGGTTTGTTATAAAATAACACTAATATTAATAAATGATGTTTCTGTAGTCATACACACATTCTATGTGTTCTTACCTGTAAACTGAAGCATCAGAATCAGGAAGAAAGAGGCTTTAATCCCTCTGAATTCAGCCATGGTTCCTCCTCTTCTCCTCACTGAGGACCTCTGGATGTATCCGCTGTACTTCAGAGGGAGTCACCTCCTCTCCTCCTCCTCACGAGCGTCCTCATTTGAGCCGGATGATCTGCAACACTCGACCACGATATGAGGACACTTCACTTTTTTGGGGCCGGCTTGTTTGGAAAGAGCCGTTAGATGTTGAAATGATGGCGTGCAGCTCCAGATGTTGAAAGCAGCACAGAAACATGACGTGAAGCGAAGAGGTGGATGGAGGTCGTTGGGGGGGTGAAGTGGGAGGTCGGCCCGTTCGCTGCCTCCTGGGTGAAAGTCCTGCGCTGCTTTCATGTTCAGTTGGTTCCTTTTTGTGTCAAATTGTGTTTTCTACAATGTTTCATCACTAACGTAAAACGCACTTCTGGATGAAACTGCATCTTGTTTCCCATCAACAAGAAAAAAAGAGACACTCCCAAACACGGCAGCAACGTTTAACACGGGGAACCAATATTTTAATATCATTTTCAAATTTAGATATGAAAGAAATTCTTCATACAACACTTTTTCCACCCAAATGTGGCCTGCAGGTGTTTCACTGGAATGAAATAATGTTAGAATATTGTAATAAAACAGGCAGCACAGTGTAGCATGACGCTGTCTTTATTTATTGTTATCACATATTATAAAGACAAGTTACTGAAACACAAACACATCCCAACAAACATGTGAATGCTGAATGAAAGTGGATCAAAGAGAGTTATTCTGTTCACACAGACGTGAAACTGAGCTCCAGCTGCTGCAGCTTCACACATTAAACTGAAAATGTTAAGATCAACACTGAAATGATCAGCTGGAAGACAAACAAAGTTAAGAAAAGTTAAAATCCAGCTGCTGCAGACAAATTCATAAAATAAAAAATTTCCTAAAAAACAAAAACAATGCTTCATCACTCCTGTGGATCATATTCAGACTTTAGTTTCAGCTGATTCCCGTCTGTGTAAATATGTTTTACTAATGAAGTCATTTGTTCCCAGAGAGAACGAACCACCAGCTGCAAGTCGCTCGCTCACATGACCGAGAACGATTGATCAATATTGGACCTCAGCAGCCCAATGAAGGACAACATCTGGCTCCACATCAGCAGCTGGGACACCATGAAGATGGTGGTGGAGCTGATCTGCAGACGTGTTGCTCAAACTCCAGCAGCAGGTCTCATGTTTTCATAGTTCACTGTGTCATCTTCTGCATCATAACGCACCTGTGAGAAACAACACAAAGCCACACTTTACACCCCCACCTCTCTGACGTGCTCCACCCTCCATGTAGCATCCACCCTGCGGTTCCCCCTCATGTGGACACTGTGAGCTCAGTCGCTAAGTGTTAGCTCTGCTAGCATTGGTGGGCCGTTAGCACCGTTAGCTGCTAGAAGCTCTAAAGCGACTCGTGTTAGAGTGAAGAAATACTGCAGATAAGAACGTCATGAAGTGATGAAGCGTTTCATTGTTAACTTGTTAAAGACTCACAGCGTTTTCTTCCGTCTGTGTTTTCCTCTCTGGAGACAAAAGAAAGAGTCGCTTTAGTTTCACCAGCAAAAGACGTCTCTCATCAAAATGTCTTCAGCTTCTTCACCTTTAATTCTAATCCACATGTTGACGACTACAAGTATTATTATGAGTGCTGCTAATCCAACGGACACAGAGACGAGCCTCCACCCGCCTGCAACGACATCACACACATATTTATGTGCATTTAGTAGACTTAAATATCTACTTTACTCATATTTAGTTACATAAAAAACTTGTTTGTTTGGTAAAACTCACCAGAAAAGCTGTAAAAAGACATTTATGAACATTCAAGTCTTAAACTACAGAGAAAACATATTTTTTGTCTCAAAGAATTTAAATAAAAAAAGACCACTGATAACAAATGTATTAAATCATTAAATGTGAGAGGATGAAAATACTGAGAGGAAGAGAGATTCTACATAAAGACACAAACACGTAGAGTCTCTACTTTGTGGTTCTGCTGAAGCTTCTCTGATTGCTGAAGTTGTCGTTGTGTCTCCTGCTTTTGTGTCCCCAGTGGTTGTTGTTGTTGTGTCTTCACCTGAACAAATGAAAACAACACAACTAAATAAATGAAACTTACAATTCACTAAAAACAGAATTGAAGTGACTTCAGAATATTTTCACCTGTTTTATCACCTGAGGGAGAAAACTGCATCACTTTGTCTCCATCGGTCACTTCACACTTCAATGAAGTGAAGCTTGATGTGTAAAAGAAGTGAGAAGTCATGAAGGACAGAGAGGCGGAGCAGAGAGACTGTGATGTCTTCACTTCTTCGTTGTCTTTGTCCACATCTTGACCACCATTCATCCACTTCACTGTGTGTTTACATCGATCATTCGTCCACACAGAGCATCTTAACGTCACCTCGTCTCTGTTCGTCTCTTCGGTCACTGGTGGAGACGGAGACATTATGAGAGAAAGAAGAGGAACTTAAGTACTAAAATCATTATTATTAGAATGTTTCAGCATATTAATCTGATACGACAGTTTATAAACATTATGATGTAAATACTCACTGGAAACAACAGACAGATGAACCTCAGCATCTTCATGTCCTCCTGGTCTGAACTGTCTGCAGACATAAAGACCAACATCTCCACGTGTGACCTTCTTCATAACCAGAGAACAGTTCTGTGAAACACTCAGTCTGTCTGATTCAGCTTTGGCTTCTTCAATCTGCCCGTTTCTAACCAGAACTACTGCTGAGCTGCTTCTTAAATAAGTGAAGAACCACACAGTAGAGTCACAGTTGTTCTGGTCCTCAGTCACACTGTTACAAGGCAAAGTGACTTCATCTCCATCTCTGACAGTGAGACGTTGTTCTGTTGCTGCTTCTAAGAAGATGAGAGAGAAGTAAAAGGAACAAGGAGAAATAAAACATGACTTTTAGTGTCAGTGTGAAGATCATTTTAGACACAACAACAGTTTACAAATGTGCCTCATTGTTGGTTTCTAAGAGTTCATTAAACTCACGATTCACCTGGATGGAAACAAACAGACGACTTGTGTGTCGTCTTTAAATGAAGCTTTGCTCATAAATAACATGAATATATTAGTAAATGATCTTTCTAGTGTTTCTGTAGTCATACACACATTCTATGTGTTCTTACCTGTAAACTGAAGCATCAGAATCAGCAACAAAGAGGTTTGAATCCCTCTGAATTCAGCCATGGTTCTTCTCCGTCTCTCGTCTCTCTGCTTCTTCCGTCTTAAAGACAAAGGATGAATCTACTTCCTCTTGTTGATAAAGAGTCACTTCCTCGTCCCTCTCGTCTCTCATACGTCACTTGTTGCTTGTTTTATGCACTTAAGGCGAACATGAGCAGGTGTGAAATTCACACTGACATCAAGCATCTGGATTTAACACCAGAGACAATTTAACCCTTTTGGGTTCAAACTGTTTCCAGAACTCTCAGAACTCAAAGTTTCACCTTTCTTCATTCGATGATCTGATCTGATGGAGCAACAAACAAACTGCACTAAGACGCCGAGTCTCAAGGTCAAGAGTCCTTTCCCATGATGCATCGGTGCCGCCGCCATACAGGCGGAGCATCAAGGGCCCATCGTGTTCAGTCCCAGAGTGAAACAGAAGAAGAAGAGTGAGGAAGTCAAAGGTGTGTGTACTGGATGACGACTGAACGCCTCTATATCAGAATCCGCCTCGACGTAACGACCCCATAGTGCCGTGGATCACATGTGAAATACTCATAATTATAATAACATTATAAAACGAGACACTGTCCCAGCAGGCGACCCAGTCGGGGCCTCTTGGGCCGGCCAGGAGTGCAGCGTGTCCCCCTGGTGCCCTGGTAGGATCTAGGTTTACCTGTGATATGGAGCCCGGTCAGGTGACCTGGGGCACAACACACAGTGCGGGTTGGTGAGGAGAGTTTAGGCTACGGGGGGGTCATAAGCTCCAGGCCTCGGGGCCGGTGCCAGGGTCTGGTTCCCCGGGGTCGGCACTGACGGACCCACTACGCCTCCTGGCTTCAGCCTCTGGTCCTCCGCCTTAAATCAGCTGTGGGTGAAGGAGGGAAGAAGGAGACATCGGCTGTAGTTTGGACTCTGGTCCTCTGTCTTAAGAAGAGAAGCACGAGAGCGCCCCCCCTGTGGACACCAGGAGGTGTTGTACCTCAGCAACGATACGAGACATGCAGGTAGACGAGAGAACACGCTTTTACTTTAAATCAGAAATAAATGTTTACCGACGGCTTTCTCCAAATAATATTCAGCCTTTTGGGAACAAAACAAATAACACAGTCAAACAATAGAAGATGCAGCCGTGATAATAATAGACTACTACTAATAGTACTACAGCAGCTCACGTGATCTGAAGGCGCCTTCCGGTCATATTGTAACAGACTGACATGTTCTGTGAGCGAAGTGACACATAAAGAGTTTGTGCTTAAAGGAATTATTTCCCCCTTACATTACTTTTACTTTTATACTTAAGTAGTTTTGAAACCAGTACTTTTACACTTTTACTTAAGTAGAACGCTTGAGTTGATACTTCAACTTCTACAGAAGTCTTTTTAAACCCGAGTATCTACACTTGTACTTGAGTAATGAATGTGAATACTTTTGACACCTCTGGTTACATCATCACATTTATGTTGTAGTTAATTCCCTCATCCTCAACTGTAGGAGGCGCCAGTGAGGCAGAATCACCCTGTTTGACAGCCCTTTGTCCTGATCGGGGTTAACAACAGTAATAATAATGCATACTAGGTAAACATGTCCTGTTCACTTGTTGTACACGTGGTTGTTTGCTTGTGGGCAGTTTGTGCTTTAAAGCAGCTGAGAAGGACCTCTGGTGCCTCTCTGGAGACAAAGAGCAGAGACGCTGTTCTGTTGGACATTTTAATGAAGCTTACAATCAACTTTTCATTCAACCTTTATTTGAAATTAAAAATGCTGAAAAAGAATAAAGCATAAAGCTCAAAGTTCATTTTTATTCCAGTAAGCTGAAAACTTTGCTCAGTAAAACACGACACAATCACATTCAGCAAACTAAAACAGCAACATTCACGTAAATGGTGACAAAATAAATGACAAGAAGCCCTGAAGCCGTCATCGTGTGCATGCAGGGACGCAGTATAACGGATGCACGTGTCTCTAAGCGTCTGCTTTCCTAAACTCCCATAATGCATCACAGCAAACGTCCACACGTCTTCATGACGCAGCCTGCGCTGATCCTAAACGTCTCCATCGGGCTACAAACAGTCATGTGACCTCTTATCTGGCTGGTTTGGTGACGGTGGCGTAGAGGGCGGCGGGGTCAGCTGCAGCGGAGGGACGGGGGGGCTTCAGGGTGGTGTAGGTCACTGCGCCACCTTCCTCCTCATCATCAGGATGAAGGCCGGCCTGCAGGGAGAGAGGAAGACTCATGAATCCAAACTCAACATGTAGAGTCCTCACTCTGGGGACGGACGTCCTCTTTGCTGAGGAGACGCTGGGACACGTTGGTCCAGCTCAGCTCACCTGGGCTCTGCCGGCGGTGTTCTTGGTGAAGCTGACGGAGGCGTAGGCCACGCCTCCTTCAGGGTCGTCCTGCAGAGAGGAGGAGACAAGATGGCTGCTCAGAGACCCGCTGACTCCCTCTTTCCTCCCTCAGTTCAACGTGACTCAGCTGCTAGTGGAGCTCACGATGGTTTAGAAGTTTAATTATTCATGTTTTAAACTCACCGCGTCGTCATCCGTCTTTGTTTTGTTCCCTGAAAAGACAAACAAAGAGGACGTGTTGAGCTCATCATTTAAAACGTGTTGTTCGTAGCAGTTCCATCTGTGGACGTCGTCACCTTTAGTTCTCCTCCATGCGACGACTCCCAGTGTGATCGCCACGAGAGCTGCACCCCCCACAGAGACGTAGACCAGGGACCACCACCAGGCTGAGACAGAGGAGGGACACAGTCACAGGGTGATGATCAATAGATGATCTCTGATAGATGATCAATAGATGATCTCTGATAGATGAACACAGCATGTTTCCCTGCACGTCTTTCCTAACTGTAAATCAAGTTCTCTTCTGCTCAGAACTCAAGTATCTGACGTCATGATTAAAGAACAATGTGTTTTTATAAGATCAATTATGAACAAATACTTTTGTTACTGTCACTACCTGAGTTCCCCTGTTCCTCTTTTCCATGTGGACTTTTGGTCGTCTTCTTCTCAGGTGTCTCATTCACTGGAGGTTTGTAAGTCGTCTTTGTTACAAAAGCACCTTAATGAATAAATAACAAAATGCAACAAACTGTAGAGTAAGAATTAGTATCTGACGTCATGATTAAAGAACAATGTGGTTTAAGAGGTGAAATATGAACAAATCCTTTGAGTGATCGTCAACTGTTCCTAACTAGTATTCATTGAGCTCTGTGGAAAAGGTCACAGGGTCAAGGATAGATGGTTAGGATGGTTCATGAGGAGTTAGGAAAGGACAACCTCAGTGTTTAGTGAATCCGTCTCCACTGTCACTGAGCTACGTAATCAAGACGTGACGGGAGACGCTTGTTAGTGACGTCAGTCTGCAGCGGTGAAACTCTACTTTCTCTGAATATACAACCTTTTCATTTGTATGTGTAAGTGTTTCAACCAGTATGTATCATGTTTTATACATGAGTGTGCATAGATTTACAGAGTGTGAGAGTGTCTCAGTAATTAAGTCATAAACGATCCTTCATAAAATATTCTCACCTGTTTTATCACTTGAGGGAGAAAACTGCATCACTTTGTCTCCATCGGTCACTTCACACTTCAATGAAGTGAAGCTTGATGTGTAAAAGAAGTGAGAAGTCTTAAAGGACAGAGAGGCGAAGCAGGAATCCTGTGATGTCTTCACTTCTTTGTCTTTGTCCACATCTTGACCACCATTCATCCACTTCACTGTGTGTTTACATTCTTCATACGTCCACACAGAGCATCTTAACGTCACCTCGTCTCTGTTCGTCTCTTCAGTCACTGGTGGAGACGGAGACATTATGAGAGAAAGAAGAGGAACTTAAATATTAAAATCATTATTATTAGAATGTTTTATATTTATCTGATACGACAGTTTATAAACATTATGATGTAAATACTCACTGGAAACAACAGACAGATGAACCTCAGCATCTTCATGTTGTCCTCCTGGTCTGAACTGTCTGCAGAGATAAAGACCAACATCTCCACGTGTGACCTTCTTCATAACCAGAGAACAGTTCTGTGAAACACTCAGTCTGTCTGATTCAGCTTTGGCTTCTTCAATCTGCCCGTTTCTAACCAGAACTACTGCTGGTCTGCTTCTTGAATAAGTGAAGAGCCACTCAGTAGAGTCACAGTTGTTCTGGTCCTCAGTCACACTGTTACAAGGCAAAGTGACTTCATCTCCATCTCTGACAGTGAGACGTTGTTCTGTTGCTGCTTCTAAGAAGATGAGAGAGAAGTAAAAGGAACAAGGAGAAATAAAACATGACTTTTAGTGTCAGTGTGAAGATCATTTTAGACACAACAACAGTTTACAAATGTGCCTCATTGTTGGTTTCTAAGAGTTCATTAAACTCACGATTCACCTGGATGGAAACAAACAGACGACTTGTGTGTCGTCTTTAAATGAAGCTTTGCTCATAAATAACATGAATATATTAGTAAATGATCTTTCTAGTGTTTCTGTAGTCATACACACATTCTATGTGTTCTTACCTGTAAACTGAAGCATCAGAATCAGCAGCAAAGAGGTTTGAATCCCTCTGAATTCAGCCATGGTTCCTCTCCGTCTCTCGTCTCTCTGCTTCTTCCGTCTTAAAGACAAAGGATGAATCTACTTCCTCTTTTTATTGTAATTTCATTTCCTTGTTCTTGCGTTTCATCAAACATCACTTGTTGCTTAACTTAAAGTCACATCTCTGCATTTAGTTCTCTGATCTGATGCAGCAACAAACAAACTGCACTAAGACTCACGTCGAGTCTCAAGTTCTTTCCCATGATGCACTTGTGTTGCCGACTTACAAGCGAACCAACAAGGACCTGAAGAAGACTGAGGAAGTCAAAAGTGTGACGGGGACCAAATGTCTCTACAATGTCTGGAATATGAAAGGATGCGTCTGTTGGACAAATATCACTTTAACAAAACCACATGTGCTCAAATCAGTCTCAACATGAATGAGTGCACACAGATCCACAAATGTATTCACATCTGCCCCCCTACAGCCAAAA